CCCCCCTTTTCCCCGGCTCTGCGGCCCCCTCCCCTGGGCGCCCGGCCCCGGGCTCTGCGGACCCGACCAACTAATCGGGCTACCTCGAGCCGCGCACTCGGTGGACGAGCCTGCTGTATGTCGCTTGGGCGGCCCGGGCGGTCAGTCTCGGGGCCTGCTGTCGGTCCTGGGAGCGCAGGTGTAGACAGGCCGCGAGTGTTTGAAACCCACATCATCGAACCCTTCCCAGATCTTAAAATACCCCCGATAGGAAGCAGCTCCCTTACACCGGGCTTCTGGCTGTGGTAGGAACCTGAACTGGTGTCACTAGCAGTGGGAAGGGTTTGCAAAATATCCCTAATAGAGGCAAGGTTATGGAGAGTTCGCAGCATAGCTTTGGTTAGGATCTGGGACTCCCAATGTTCAGATCACTGAATCCCGCTTCTCCGGTAAATACAGTTTCCAAGCAGCGGGTATGAATGAAAATCCCAGATACACTGTTTGTGGCAGGTGAGGGAGAACTCCTGCCACCACCTCTGTGGCAGTTTAGTGGTTAAGTTTTACAGAATTTGACAAAGCATTTCAAAGCATGTCAAAACAGATTTGGCTTTGTGCAGTATTATAAGATGTGTATATTTGCTCGACTTTATAAAGTGCAATAATAAAAAAAATATGGACAACATTCTTGATAGAGAAGCAAAAAGCTACATACTAGTTTTATACTACTTTATTTTTCAGAGCCTGACCCCCTCTCTTCCCCCCCCCCCAATGGAGAAACTACCCTGGAATGTAGCCACCACTTTGCAGATGAGGGGCGTTGGCTTTCATAGCCCATCAGTTCTGCAACTTGTTCTGTCGGAGGGATTGCTTCATAGTGGCATGAAGTGCTCCATCACCTAAGTGCTAAGCATCCTGCATCTATTTTCTTGCTGGTCCTGTTAGCAAGAGATCAAGTTAGAGAATTAAAACTGGCCCTCATTAATCAATGGGCTGGTCTACTACTATTTTAGAAGTGCATAACAATCCATAGAATATGGTGATGCAGAAAGACCTAAACCAGTTGATAAAGAGCATTGTATGTTGTGAGTATTACTGCTCTATCTGGGGCCTTGTCTAGGCTAGGATAAAAGCTATGGTGATATAAAATATTAGCTAACACATTTTAAAAACCCATCTTTTATCCTAGATTAGACAAGGCTTCAGAGCTTGCACTCCAGGAGCTGTCTTCAGCTGAGGAAATGTGTACCATCCATCCCTTCCTTTTGGTGGTGGTCCTATTGTAGAGATGTGGAGATTACAGTTCTTCCTATACATGCCATAGGTGTGAACCCAATAGGGCAGAGGTACAGGAAGATCTTATTTCTCTTTCAGCCAAAATGAAGACCTGGAGGAGATTGCATCTGCTGACCTGAAGTATCTGCTGTTACCTGCTTTGTTGGGAGCCCTCACCATGAAACAGGTCAATCTTAGCAAGCGTCTGGAGCATGTGCAGAGTGCTCGTGCCCACTTCATGGACTTCCTGAAGCTCTGCAAGAACTACCAGATTGGCAAGTTCCACCTTCCACCAACACCAGAGAGTCCTAATGAAAATGAGCCTACAGAGAGTACTTCCGGGGCTGGCCCACCTGGCAGACAGTCCAGTCTGGTGGCCATGGCATCTAGTAGACAAGCAAAAATTGAAAGGTAGATTTCACCCCCCCCCCTTATTAAAGCAGTTGCAGATACAAAATTAGGAGTGGAAAAGTCGAATATTTCATAGTACAAAATGTACAGTATGATATTATAGAAATGAAGAATATAAAATGGTAAAGAGAATAGCTTGAATTGTAATTAAAGTGAAAAAAGTTTTTCATCATTCATTTATTAAATAACTTGCATTCTAGTTTTCAAGATATTCACCATGGGTATCATTTAATGCTATTAAATTCTCCCTGGGCAGGAGAGCCCTTGATTTACTATAGCATTCATTAATAGGCATGTTGATTACAACTTCTATTCAGTAGTTGTAATCACTCGGGTAACTAAGACCCCATCTTGCACAGAGAGGGACCATTTGTGCAGTATTTACCGGATTGGAGCCTAAAGTTGTAAATGAGAGGAAAAGAAATATTACCAGAGCCTCTATTTCAGGGGTGGCCAAACTTACTGACCCACCGAGCTGCATACAAACGCATGGTCCCAGCCCCAAAGAGTTCATATTCTAAGAGAAATGGATTTGAGATGGTAAAATACAGTAGTATCATTTCACTGATCCACTTGTCTCCAAAGCCTTTTTACTGTGAGAGGAAAAGCACCATACACTTATCAAAGTCCTCAGTACTGCTACCTCTTTTTCAGCATCAGCTTTAGTACAACAATTTAAACAATACCTATTTTTCAAATTGTATAATAAGATGTAATGTACATATAAGGTCACTTCTTGCTGTGAGACCAAGGTTGTTGGCAACAGTATGTATATTAGGGGAAAAAGGCAACATCTTCTCTGTAGATTCTGTTCAAGGGCAAGCTGCAGTCTGTTCTCTGATCTGGGAAGTTGGCTTGATGTCAGCAGTGAGGAATCACGTTGACTTTGATAAAGACAAGCATAGTTCACACAGACTGGGCAAGATTTTAAGTGGATTCACCAATACACCTCAGTCCAGATGAATGGCACCTCCTCCTTATATTCCAGCCCTGCATGTTCCCGCCACCTCTTCCCCCTCACCCTCCATCACCCCAAGTGCATGGAGGCCCTCAACAGTAACTGGTAGGAATGTGGTAGAATTCTAAAGTCTGGGGAGTAGTAATAAAACGTGTGGTGTCCTTGGAGTAACTTATTTGAAGAGCATTGTCCTACTTTAAAGTATAAAGGTCAGCTAGGATGGGATCACTTCCCTTGTACTGCTCCAGGACAGAAGTTGGAGGTCTGGTCCTTCTGCTGCTTAACGTTATGTTTCTCCAACCCCTCAGTATTGAATTTAGTAAGAGATTCTCCTGAATGATCTGCCCTTGCAACCCCCTTAGTTTCCCTCTCCTTGGTTCTTAATGTTTTATTCTGAGGACCCCAGAAACGATTCCCTAGCTGAGTTTGTTAATCACTGAAACTGGGCCTAAGGGGCTAGCCTTAGAAGCATATTTGATTTAAATAATAATCCCATAAAGTAATAAAACAGCTCCCTGTTTTCTAATTCAGGTGTCCTTTTGCACTTTGAACTCAAGGATTCAGACTTTGAAGCCCAGATCTCTGTCTAGCTAGGAATTACTGCATCCTATAGGATCCCCTCTGATATCTTTATTTCCTAAGAAGGGTCTAATTAGCTCTCATGTTGGTGGTCTCTCAGCAGGGGCACTAAAGATTTTAGGCCAGGAAGTTCGAGTGCCCCTTTCCTTCAGGTGATCCCTCCATTAGGAGTATTGGTTGTGTTGTGTGGGGGAAACTCATTGCCTCCGCCCATGCACTATCCATTCTATGCATAGGTGGCTTTAGCGCAGCTTCTACCATAATAAAATTTACTTGAGAAAAACCAAATGACCTTTGCTGGAATATTTTATGCACCATGGGTGGTTTTTTCTATTTGGTTTTTCCACCAGGTACCCATAGTGGCTATTGTTGGAGAAGCTCCTGGGTGTTAAGTACTCTCTTATTTGCAGTTATTCACACGTCCTGTCAGCATGACTTTTCTCTTTAAAGAGCTAATTTCCTGAAGATGGCACTGTACCCACTTTAAAATTGTATCTCTGGTTTTCGTTAATGGTGAGCAGGCTTCTTGGCATCTGAGCCAGCCTCTTGTTTGAAATATATCGTATTCAACAGCAAAGTGGAGATACCTGCAGCCAAGGTCTGTTCTTGCCCACACTGCAGCAATGAGCCATCAAAAACTGCCCTCTTGTATATTTTTTTGAGTTCCAAAAATTGTATTAGAAACTTCACAAAGACAGGTGAAGATCCCATGCTTGCTCCAAAGAGCATATAATCTAAACTTGATCTGACATGTCAAAGAAGGATCATAACCAGACATAGTGAAGGGGAGAGGAAAGGGAGACTGTAGCAGATTTCCCTCTTGTATTGTGCTATATGCATGTGACTGTTTATGTATTCTCAGTAGCCTCAAAGGGGAAAGGGAAGGCCTTTAGTCAAGAAGATAAATCCACCTGCTGGATGCTGATTAGTATGGGAAGAGTGTCCTTGTACTCCATGTTAGGGTTCTCAAACTGTAGTTTGTGGGGCACTTTGCTGATGGTCTCCAGAGAGTGGGCTGGCCATAAGGTGCTGACTTGTATTGAAATATGTTACTTTACTTTTCCCTGTAAGCCACTGCTGTAGTTCTGTTGGGATGTGTTCTAATTCTGAACTTCAGAGCTACTTGTTCCAAAAGGTAATTTCTCTAACAAAGTGTGATCCACCCTATGACAACATCCTGAACTCTCTTTGCTGTACAGTCAGCTGTGTCAGTACTATCTGTTAAAAAGTTGTTTGAAAGAGGCTCCTTAAATGGTCCTATCTCTCCCTCCCTGAGGCAGATATAAGCAGAAGAAGGAAGTGGAGAATAGGTTGGCCTCCATGAAAGCTTTTGTGGAGAGTGGGCAGGCGGAGGAGGAACAGATACGGGAATTCTACGTGCTACAAATCCAGAAGTGGATCACAACAAGCCTGGACGAAATCGAGAGCATTGACCAGGAAATGGTGATTTTGAGAGGAAGGAATGCACTAAAACAGGTATGAGATTTGGGCTATGTCGTGGGGTGTGGGGCTTGTAGGTTTTGTGTACAACGGGTTGATGACGGACATTGGTGAGCCTGAAACAAAATGAAAGATTATCAGATGGTTTCAATGGCAGAGCTTAGTGTACTTTCATATGTGAAGTCATGGGTTAAAATCCTACATAGATCACAAGTGAAATGAATGGAGGGGGTCTCTGTTTAATGCCTAATGGATATTTGTCTGTATTAACAAACCAGGACCAAATTTGGCATGACCTTTTCTAGTTGTGGGCAGTCAAGGCTTGAAACAGCAGAGTATTGCACATCAGACTAGAGGTACTTTAAAGACTGCTGGAGCAGGTTTGCCCTGTTTCTCTACACTATGCCAGATTGTCAGTCCGTCACTCTTAAAATAATAAATCTGCCACAGTTAAAATAATAATCCAGTGATCTTTTAAGCATGCAGTCTTGGCTTTCAGAATGTCCAGGTGCCATCTGAAAGGAGTGACCCTGTTGAACAGTAAAAGCCCCTTCAGCAAAGGCGACATCTGTATCATACAGACTGATGCTGTTTTCAAGAGTTCAAGCTTTGTGCTGTTCACTTAAAATGTCTACTGGTTAGAATTAGAAACACATTAAATGGATAGTGCATAAAATATTCCAGCTTTATTTGGGATATAAACTTGTTTTGTGCACTTCAGTGACCTGTCCCTGTAGCGCTGTCAACTGGGGTGACAACGTTCTGCTCAACTGCAGTGCTCTGAGGTGATAGAATTACTGCTCGTGATAGGATTTACTGAGTGGCAGATGTGCCATGTTTGGTCTCTGGGAGAAATAACTGTTCTTGTTTCTTTCCTCCAGGTTAGTCTAGCTCAACTGCAGCTGCCTCATGTTTTATCAGCTTCTTGCTTTCACCCAGGACGGGAGTGCCTGAGGCACAGGGAAGTGACGTCACATGCTGAAGCTCACCTAGGAAGTTTATGGCGTAGCATGGGTTAAGGCCGGAACTTGTCAGACTCATGGTATGTCTACACTGCAGCTGGCATGTGATTCCCAGCACCAGTAGATAAGTGCACTTGGTCTGCTCGAGCAAGTATGCTAAAAACAGCAGTGTGGTCATTGCGGGGCGGATGGTGCCTCAGGCTAGCCATCTGAATTTCGACCCAAGGGATCAGGCAGTCTTGGACTCAGGCAGGAATCCCAAGCTGCTGCCTGTGCCACAACATCCATCCTGCTGTTTTTAGCACACTATCCCAAACAGAGCTAGCACAAGTCTGTCTCTCCTCGCTGGGAATCACACCTCCCAGCTGCAGTGTAGACGTACCCTCAGTACGTTTCTCTGACTGCAGAGGTGGCGCTCTTCTCATGCTCTGCACTTGAGGAGTGGAGGGGGATGCAGGGGAGGTTATTCTGAAAGTAAATCTTTTTGCTTTTTGTTTCCTATCTCAAGGCTTCAGCACCTCCTCAGACTTCTCAGCATCCCAGGACTGCAATGAAACCTTTCATTCTCACCCGAGACGCCGTGCAGGCTAAGTATGTTGCACCATAATAACGTTAGATTCAATCTCTCTCATACGGCTCCATTTTCCTGGAAGTAGTGAGCACAGCGCTGCTTGGAATGTGTTTACAAAAGGCTAAGCTGGGCTCAGGGCATTCTTCCACGTCCAAAGGAAATATTTCTTCAAGACCTGCACCACGTCAGGATGGCTTTTATTGTATGTGGTGGGGTGGGAGCCTGTAAGATACCTCCTCCCACTTTTCCTTTTCTTATTTCCCCCTCTACCAGCATGCTCCAATATGCTGTCCTAGCATCTCTGTGGAGTGCACTGATCCAAGAGTACCACCATATCTATGCTCTGTTTTCTTTATATTTGGTTAACTGGGAGGAGTTCTCAGCTGACAAGGCTTCCTTTGCCCCTCTCTGAGCCCTCATTGTGTCATAGCAGCATCACTATTGCTACTCAAGCAGAGTGTCTCTTAGCACTTCCTTTACCAATCTAGGGCTTAAAACAGAGCCAAGAAAGGAAAGACGGTTGGTGGCTAGTAGGCAGTCTGAGTTGGCCCACTATGCTGCTCTTTGCTTCACCTTTGTTACAGTTCCCTTTTCGTCCTGTGTTTTAAAGGAAATTTTACTCCTGCAAACCTTGAGATTTTGGATCTATCCCTAGGAGTGAGGTGCATGTTTGTGGTCAAAGGATCTGGGTAACTCTGTTGTAGTTTGTCAGTGTCAGTCTCTAATGTGAAGTGTCAATGTGTTAGAGCCAGTGAAAGCTGTGACTTCAGAAGCAGTCTGTCCATCAGTCTAATGGCAAACTCAGGAAAAGACTGTCATATAGCCAAAATAAATTAACCTTGATAGTGAAGCATAAGATGTTATCTACTAGAGAGGTCTGCTGTGTTTCTTGAGAAACACATATAACTCCTTAATTCTAGCTGTTAACAGGAAGTGCACTGAATGGGGTCAGGATTTTATATTTCTATACCTACCAGTTAATTGTATCGGAAGGAGTATGGTTGCCAGGTCTTTTGTCACCATCCTGTGCCTAAGCTTTTTGCCATGTTCACAGTATGGCCTTTGTTGGGATCTTAGAATGTGTTTATTTCGCTAAGTAAAGGACTGGATTCTGAGCTTCGTTCCTAGTTGCGTGGTGTTCTACAGCAAGCATGTATCTAGGGGTGTCGTCCATCCTTATCCTTTGGGGTGAATGGATGCTGCCTCAAGGGTCCTAAGAGCTGAGCAGGTCTCCGCCTTTTAGACTTCTGGGATGGTCTCTGTGGATGTAAGGTTACTGGAGAGCAAATTGGTGTAGGCTTGAACTCTCTGTAAATACACTAGTTCCAGTACAAACCATGTTTATGTCCCGAACAGCATTACAAGATAAATGTAAGGTGTCCCAAAGTAGGTATATGTATCATAACACATATTAGACGTTCCTAGCCATTAGTGACTTGAACTGCAACTGCTGAGAGCCCCAAATCCTCAGAGAAGGTGTTGATTGCAACTACTTGTGCAGAATAACAGCATATATCCAGAGTTCACAAGTGTGTGTGTGGATTAAGCCATAGTGGCAGACTCCAGGATAGAAGTAGCTTTCTCCCAGAAGATGGCAAAGTGCAGTATGCAACCAGTTTGCTGTTTCCCTATCCCTTTTGATAAAGAACCCCACAAGGTCACATTACAGGCTTTGGGACAGAACAAGACAGGAAATGGAGGAAGAGACATTTCTAGCCTTATAGCAATATTACTGTAATGTCCAATTTGAGGGGGGAAATTAAAAAAAAAAAAGGGGGGGGGGGGAGAAAAAAGTTTCCAGAGGTTGGTGCTTGCCCCTTTGCTGTTTCTAGTGAGCTTAAATTATCTTGATGGGGCAGTGACACAATACTGCAGGCGCTCTAGGAGATGGAAGGGTATGTGTGTAAAGTTACTAAATGGGAAGATTGTAGGAATGGGAAATCAATGAAAGCATCCAAATCTGTGTTCTGCACTGACTGATATAGTAAATAAAATGGATTGTTGCCAGATCTTCATTATGGTCATTAGATGCAAAAATGAATAAGCCAAATAAATGGAACTGAGCTAAAAGCAGCAGGAGACTGCATCGGTTATACCCTGACTTTGACCGATGAGCCTAATAATGAACAAAAGCAATAAGGATTCAGTAGTCCTGGGATATTGTCAGACCAAGAGCCTGAAGAAAACAAGAGCAGGCTGGAGGGGAACAAAGTGTATATTGTAGAAAGAGAAACATCTTCAGTGGACTGGAGGAGAGTCTAAATTATTCTCTGGGGAGCAGTTTAAAGCAAGGCTGAGAGTTGTTGCATCCTCAGATGTAGGGCAAGCAGCCATGGCCAGAAGCTATGGAATCAAAAAGCTAAGTCAGAGTAATGTGTTAGTGGAACAGACTCATTGAGAAGGTGGCTGACGCACTATCCTTGCAGAATCAAGATCAGGGAAGATGAGATGCTGGTGGAAAGGATTCATAAGGTTCTGAGTGATGATCAAAGTGGCCTTGTCTGGCCCTTCTGTCTTTCTGTGGAACTCCAGAACACAGTTCCTTGCTGGGACTTCAGTTAGTTTACAAGAAAACTGAAAGGAGTTTGCTCTGAGGAGGGATAGAAGAATCTCTAATAGTACGGTGGTCAGGATGACCTCGTGGTTCACAAAGGATCCAGAATAAAGACCCTGAATACAAGGATCAGACTATAAATTCTGGCTGTCAAGCCAGTGGAGAAATTAGAATGATTTGTGCTGCTTTAACTAGGCAACACAGAGATCTTTGCAGGGATGGAATTCTAAGGCATTCTGTTCTAAAGTCCTTAACTATCTTCTGCGGATGTCATTCTGGGGCCAGTCTTGTTAGTTTGATATGTGAATGGACCTAGGCTCATCTTATCATTTTTATAATAATTGTGTGTTTCAAGGGCTCCTCATGCAGGAAGATCTCAAACAGCTTTGCAAATTTATTAGCTACCACCACTGAAATGAAGTCACTTTGTGGAGAGAACATCAGCCAGGCAGATGATTTTCTGTGCACTGCAGCATCATAAGGGAAGAGCTTTTTGGTCAATGATACTAGGTCTAATCCTATCTTTACCAAATGGGCCAAAAGGAGGTTAATAGCTGTATAGAACTTACAGGGTCACACTTTCCTTTTATTTTAAATATTCTACTCAACATAACAGGAAAAATAACATAGACGGTACAAATCAGGAGGGTTCATTTAAACAGGCAGACTAAGGACTCTCTTGAATGGGAGGTGAGAATGTGCTTGATAAGTTGGGGCTGCCCTGGAAAGACTGTCGTCTTGGTGTGTTGTGGGTACCTGCGATATGCGGCCGCAACAGGAGGATTAACTTGACATAGAATGTGCACCGTGTATGTAGCTTTGTTAACTATCTATTTCTTCCTGCAGGGTGTTAGGAGCTGGCTATCCTAGCCTGGCAACTATGACAGTAAATGATTGGTACGAACAGCGCTGTAAACAGGGCATCATGCCCGATAAAGGCAAACCCCAGACAACAACAGGTATGGAGCAGTAAGGAAAATGTAAATGGGGGTGCTAATGATCCTTGGAATCACAAACCAGTGTGCATTATTGCAGTGTCAGGAAAATTGGTTGAAACAATTAAACACAATTATAAAACAACCAGATAAACATAATACAATGGAGACAAGCTGAAACATCTTTTGTAAAGGAAAAATCTGATTCTAATCTACTAGTGTTCTGTGAGCTTGTTAACAAATTAGGAACAGACATGCTTTTTGAAAATCCAAATACGCTGTAACCTGTTGTCCTTCAAAATCTGTCACAAGAGGCTATTAAGAAAACTAACTAAGAGGCAGTAGGGTGACAGGCAAAGTATTGTCATGGCTCTGAAACAGAAAACAAAAGGAGGGGAAAAAAACAGTGAAGAATGCAGGGAACTTCAGAGGGACCCAACAAACCTAGCTGAATAAGCAACACGATGGCAGATGAGTGGGAAATGTAAGTTAGTGTACCTCAGAAGGAATCATTTGAATTCATCATGCATAGAACTGGGTTCTTAATTAACTGGAACCACTCAGGAAAGGTATTTGAGTGTCACTGCAGACATCTCAGTGAAAACACCTGTTCAATATGCTGCAGCAGTCCAAAAAGCAAACAGTGTTAGGATGTATAAAGAGTTGGATGGAGAATAATACTGAAAACATATTGCAATAATATAAATCAGGGCACACCACCTCTTAGATCAGAACTGAACACACTTATTCTATCTTTTTTGAGATGGGCTGACCAGAAATCGAAGGGTCTGTATATGGGCAACAAAAGTGATGAAAGGTTTTGGAGAGACTTCTATTTGAAGAGGTACACGATGCAGTTTAGAGAAGAGAGAAATAAAAGGGGATATGATAGTTACTTAAAAACAAAACCCAAGATACAAAGAAAGTAAAGGGTACACAAAGGGTAAATGGGAGGACCCATTCTCAGAATACAAAAACAGGGAACACTTAATGAAAGTGAAAGGTAGTCCCAGCCCCAAAGAACTTATCTGTAAGTTGGTGAAATGACTAACACCATGGGGCCCTGGACTGTAGGCACTACTGTAAATGAATTATAAAGTAATATACTAAAAGGACTTTTTTTTTTTTATTAAACATTAACCACTGGAACTCACTGCCACATCGTCTCTGAAGTAAGAGCCTAACAGGCTTAAAAAAAGGATTAGACACTTATATGAATGAGTATATCCACAGTTATATTTCTGTAGAAGAACAGAAAGGATATAAGCCTTTGTCCTTCAGGGCATAAGTCAGCCATTAACTGAGGGGGGTTAGAAAGACACTTTCCCTATGGGTGTGTTTGTTTCATAATTGGCCGCTGTGGACTTTCTTGCACCTTTCTCTGAAACAGACAGGCTACCAATCTAGATAAACCATTAGGATGATCCGATATGGCAAGTCCTTTGTTCTTAAAGATCATATTCCAGGAGACATCGCTACAGAGAACTTGACTGGTGATTCTCATTTGTTTCCGTTTCACTGTGTGGTAGCTTACTCTTTTTCTTGACCATCAGCAGATCTTTCTGAAGAGGAGCTGCAGAGAGAGCAGCAGGAGAAGAAGGTGGAAGAGGATGATGAGGAAACTCTACAGAAAACTCGAGCCTGGGAGGACTGGAAAGACACACACCCAAGGGGATTTGGCAACCGAAAGAACATGGGCTGACTGTCGAAGGGATGAGTAGAGCAGGAGAGTCTCAACTGAGTGCACTCCATGATATAGCAGGAGTAATAGCTGTACATATGTAGGGTGGTCCTTGGTTTCTGTTGGGGGCTCACCTGTGGAAGGGGAGTGAACAGGACAGTTTGTTTTGATTTACATTAAATATCAGAGAGTGCACTTGTCATGGAGTGATGGTGATGTGGCAAAGCTTCATCAAGTGGGGGGGCCTTTACTTGAGGGATCAGAGCAAAACTTCCCTGATCCTCCTAATCAGAGGGAGTTGTTAAGCAGAAAGTCTATTAATTTGAAAGTGGCTCTTTGTATTGTTGATGGCTGTATTTATTTTTCTCTATTTTTAAAAGAATAAATTTCCTTGTGCTGCTTAATCCGTCACGTAAAGTCTCTTGCTCCTGGCCCCATCCTCTACCCATGTTTCTTTATCATGCTGGTGTACCCTTCCGAGGCCGTGGACAGTATGGGAAGTGAGAGTTTAGACAACAATTTGTAGGAGCAAGTTATCAGTTGAGGCTCTGAAGGGGGAGTTCATAAACGTATGATTCATCTTTTGTGAAGGGCTGTAGTTATAAAGAGGGCCTCCTGTGCAACCAGCAAGTGATGAAGCTGCTTCCAGTGTCAGACATCTTTAGTCTTCCCCAGGTGGCTCACAGAAATGCTGTCTTTCTGTGTAAAACAGGCAAGATGTCTCAAGGACACTGGCTTTAAATGATGGTAAAAGACCCAATACCACTGCCACAGTAGGGATGTCAGTCTCCAGCACTGCTGCAGTCTCCATTTAAATTCAAAATGGAGACTTTGTGTGGCTATAACACTTCTCTAGAGAATACAGAAGAGCTGCCTGTGTCTTGAGACCCACTTCTGACCAATAACTGAAATAAATGTAAATATCCAGGGGAGACCAGAACTACTTACGGGGCTGCCAGGGGCTAGAATTAAGAAATGAGGTGATATTAAATAGAAATTCTAGGCCGTTCATTGAGACAAGCTGTGTGGTGGAGGCCTCCTTGTTTGGATTGTTTAAAGCTAGTTTAGATAGAATACATAATGTAAAAAAAAAAAAAAAATGCTTTAGGGAATAATAATCCTGTACTGGCTGAGAAGAAGGGATAGACTAGGTAACATAACTGCTGTGTCACATTTGGCATGGAGTTGCAACTGCATAGTGACTTTACTGGGTAGGGAATCTAAAAAGAGAAATTACTTGCTAGCAGCTCTGCACTATACTGCCCCCTCCCCTTGCAGGTTTGTCAGGGATCAGTAATGGTTTCTGAACCTGCTCTATAACTGTTCTGCTACTGAAAGCCTTGTTACAACTATTTGGCTTAACAATGTTGGCTAAATTTCTTGTCTGCTAACACGGTCAGTCCTGGGTACAGAGCAGGCCATTAGGTATTTGCCACCTCTGATTTCCAAGGTTCATCTTGGAATTTCCACCCACAGCCCAATTAATTTCCTGTGTCTGCTTACCTTTTTGGGAATGAAGTCTGGTTTTTAAAAAGGCTTAGTGCTCATTCTTTATATCTAGTAGTTGGTACCAAGAGTAGCTAGAGTTCTGGTCCTGCTTGGCAGAGTCCTGGGTGGAGAGAGGCTCAGTACTGGGTACTGAAATTCACTCTTACAAAAGCAATTTTTTTTTAGGAGGGAAGATTCTCCATGCTGCTGCTGTCAATGTGGTCAGAGCTGCACCTAGACTTCCCTTATCTCTACACTCAATACAGGAGCCTCTGTACTGTTTTGGCTGACCTAAAAACTCAGAATGGGATCCTAAGAACTAGTTTTAATGAGAAAGTAACCCTGTGCATGGACAAACCCAGTTTGCAAGAGTTGCACATCTGTGTCTTGGAGTCTCTGCTGCAAGCATGTGGCCCATGCACACAATGAAATTCTTTTGGTCATAGTGTTTGTTGGGGCTGTGTCTGCACTCTAGGTGTCCTCCAGCACCAGGGCATAAAGGATGGAGGAAGCCCAATTGTTCCTTAATTCTTTCTTGCTGCAGCAAGATGGAACCCTTGCAGTGTTTGCTTCTCTGTGACTCTATTGTAGTTAGTGTTAGTTTAGTTGGGTTTAGAAAAAAGAGGTTGTACCCATGTTATCAGTACTAATTAGGCCTTTGGTCAGCAGTTGAGACATTGAAACTATCTACTTCCCCTACCCTAGGCAGAAGGGATGCAGGAGTGCCCTAGCACACCAGAAAGGGTAGCCTCATCATCTTCTCCATTAGGACACAGTAGAGACTTATCTCCTGCTCATCCACCATCCCCTCCATTGGGTCTTTCCCTGACTTCCCAGTGTGGAGCTGAGACTGCTCTTAAAACAGGAGATGGCATGTATCTCACAGGGAGCAAGTCCCTGGCACCCTTCTCTGTGTCCATCAGTCCAATATCCATATGCTTGAGTCATGGTCCTGAGCTAGGCAGCCACATACCTGCAAGCCAACATCCTTCCCCCCTCTTTTAGGGTTAAATCCTCTTATCCTAAAAGGCAGTATAGATCTTCCCAGCCAGGTCAGTTAGTGCAACCGTAGCTCCTAGAGAGAGAGGCAAAACAATTGATCCTAGTGGCAATTTTGATGAAGCAGTCAATCCCTCTATGCTAGTGGTTTTCAACCTTTTTTCATTTGCGGGCCCCTACAAAACATCAAATGGAGGTGTGGACCCCTTTGGAAATCTTAGACATAGTCTGTGAACCCCCAGGGGTCAATGGACCACCGGTTGAAAACCACTGCTCTATGCCTTGTCCAACAAATGACTTCAACGCGTTCCAAGACCTGAAATGTATGGTCAAGACCCTTAATGTTCCACTGGAAGTATTGAAGAGAAGTCATACAAGCCGCTAGATATTCTGCACCCTTCTATACCTGATAGATTCATCATGTCTATTAACAAGGGATTGTTAGAGCCTGCAAAGGACAAGAGTGGGATCCATGTGGACAAATACTTGAAAAAGTAACTGTTCTCTCCCTTACAGCAATGGTGGTTCTTCAGCATGGGTTGTCCACATGGATTCCACAACCATTTTTGCTGCTGCTAAGGAGTGCTACACTTCTTCTATCCTGTATTGGCAAAAGAACTGAGGGGTGTTGGACACACTTCACTCTTTATGCCCTCAGTGTGGAATAAGGCCATGTAAGGCCCAGGAGTTACACCAGTGGCTGCTGCTGGCCAAAAATAACCTGATCTCGCATGTATGGGGTGCATGTGCATCAAGAGAAGGAGCCATATGGACAAAACCTCTCAAAGAACCACAGTTACTGTAAGGTAAGTAAGTGTGCTTTTTGACTGACTCTCTCAAAGTAGAACACACAACTCTGTCCCAGTTGTTTAGGCTAGAGCAGCCTAGCATGTGCAATGGAAAAACAAGTTTAAATCTTCACAATGCATGGTGTTGACTTGGTGGAAGATGCTAATTTGTTAAATCTCATCTATAATTACCAGGATTAGATGTAATTTTGAGAAGAGGATCAAAATGCAATACCTTTTCCCAACTTCTCGAGACCCCTGCTAGGAGCCAGTCTTAGCTGGAGGTTCATCTGTATGTACAACCTAGTCCAAGGGAAGCACTGGGCTGCAATAGCTGTGAGGCTAACACCTTGTATTTAGAGGTGGAGACCAATCAGTCTGTAGTGTATATTCACTACAGACCTATACAAATCTAGAAGTCTGACAAAGAGTCCTGTGGCACCTTATAAACTAACAGATGTATTGGAGCATAAGCACGAAAGCTTATCTGTTAGTCTATAAGGTGCCACAGGACTCTTAGTCTGGATCTGTAAAAAGCAACCAACACGGCTACCCCTCTGATACTAGAAGTCTTACAGACTCAAATCCAAACCAGTCTGTAGCAAATAGAGGGTAAAAAGTAACCTAGTGCTAGCTTTCTTCAGAACTATAGATACAAATTCCAAGCAATCATTAGCAAATGTACAGCATGCATACTTTCTCCTTGGTTTGTCACGTTTCTCTCAACTACCTATCACACAACAGTCTAAAATTCCTCCTCAATTACTCTTTTTTCAGTCCTTTTTAAATCCAAATATAACTTCTGACGCAAGCTGTGGTTTTGGTGTTAGAGCTGCCTCTTTTGGCAATAGATGTTTATGTGCAAAGGCTTGTATTTTTATCAGTGCTTGGGAATGTGACACAGAAATATTTTCTGTTTCTATTGGTGAATGTAGCTTTTAGCAGCAGTAATGGTTAAAGTGGCATCCATTCTTCTAAAGTTAGAATTTGCCCATTTAGAAGATATTTTGCCCTTTTTTTTAACAGCAAACGTGGAACTTCTCTTCTTCAGTACTGAAATTCACCCTAATTTACAAAAGCAGATTTTTTTAGGAGGGAGGATTCTGCATACCTGCAACTTTCTCCATGCTGCTGTTGTCAGTGCCGCACCTGTGAAAACTGTGGAAAAGTGTAAGGCAGAAGAGGAAAAATAAGTGTCCAGCTAGGTACTCTGATCGCCTAACCAGCAACAGCTGAATACCTGGCAGGGCACAGCCGAGAGCGAGAACATCCAGCGGCAACCTCATGCAGTGCCTGACCCAGAACATCTTTCCCCAACTCTGTAGCACTTAACATAGCGTTGTCTGGGAACCTCTCAATAACTATATACTATACCTAGGAGTCCACTCCAGCACCCAGAAGGCAGTAGAAAGATTCCTATTGATTTCAATGGGAGTAGGATCAATCCTGGGATACCACATCCCAGAATTCTGATTCTGGCTTCGGATTGTCTTCTTTCTGCTTCTGTGGTTCTGGTATGACTTCTAGTAAGCCTTGGAGGAGATGGGTGATAGGAAAAGCATTCAGAGTGTCAAGGATGCCTCGGACAAGGAATCAGATCTTCTACGTCAAGGTATAATCTCTGCTACAGTGAGCAGGAAGGAGCCTTTTCCCCTGTGAAGCCTTGACCAATTTGCCAGGTGCATTGTAGAGGGGAGTGAGGCCTTCTTGAATATATTGGGTATTGGATACTGGATTTAACGGTCTGGGCCAGTGTGGCAAATGCTACTTTCCTGTAACAAATGGTGATTTGAATTTGACTTTTTCACATTTTCAACTTGCCTTTAATTAGAATCCCACCACTAACGTCTGGGCAGTAGTTTGTGACATGCCCAGGAAAGTACCATTCTATGCAGGGGGGAAGACAAACTCAGGCAAGTGTCTTCTGATGAAAATATCCAGCAATGTGTACATTTGTATAAGTGGGTGAAGGGTGCGGGATCCTTTATGGAAACAGCCACCTGGGACTTTCTGCTAACTCCTTCTCCTTCTTCTTAATACCACAGGGTTTTCTTCTTGCTTTTTCAAATGAAGGGCAGGGTTTGTCCGCCACCCCTCCGGTGCGGGCAGTTTACCTTGGGCCTGACAGTGGAGCTTCAAAGCAGTTGGACACACAATCAGTTTCACAGGTTGAGATTTGCAAACCTGCCTTTTAACCTGCGGATCCAAAGTCTGGGAGAGAACTTGTTACCAACATGAAAACAATTATTGCAGCCTATTTCCAAAATCGTAGTGGTAAGAAAATCGCAAAGCGTATTTGAGGTTATTTATAATGCTCTAGACTTGCCAGTTTCTAGTCCATTGATTAGTATTTGTTGTTATACATTTGTTTTAGGCTGTTTAATAAAAGGGGAAGGCTTTTTATAAATATTGTGTAGCAGCAGCAGCAGGGCACAAATCCCTCAAAGTACTCTGCAGGAATGAATTCTCTGAAATTGACATTGCAAAGGAGCATCAGGTAGTTCACCAAAATAGGGGGCTGCAAAGGGTGGCAAATTCTCCCTGCCTGAGTGCTAATTCAGACCTGTAGTGCTAATCAAAGGAAAGCATCTAGCAACTCTTACTCAGGAAAGATTCCCGCTGATTTTAACAGGAGTGAGAGCTGAGTAAAGTGTTTGGATTTGGCCCTCTGTCAACTAAAGGGCAGAATTGTGGGGTATGAGATTTCTGGGAGATCGTGTGATACATTGGGGAGTCTGTCTGGCGTGCATCAGGGATGAGTGATGGATTTGGCAGAACTTGATAAACTGCTCTAGGGAAGTAAACTAATGCATTCAAACCCAATGAGAGCTCCCATATTCATTTAATTTCCACTGCCTTGTCCATGATCTGGATTTGTCTCTGGAAGGGATGAACCCCCAAAATTGGATGGGTCTGACACACATCTGGATTTGGTGGCTTTTCTGTGACCTCCTGCTCCTGGCTTTCCTCTGATCCAGCACAGCAATGTATGCCGGGGCCCCTCTGTTCTAGCTATGTAGATACATGTCTTGGGGGTTCTTAAAATTAGAGCACCTGCCAAAGTTATTTTCTCAGCCACGGAAAGGCCAGCTGTGGCTCTGCAACTCTTCTGAGTGCCCTGTGAGCCAGTTGCCTTGTGTCAGGCCTTGGTGGGACGGGCCATTTGGCACATGGAGGCTCTCGCAGCTCAGCCCAAATTTCTCCCACAAACACTGAGCCCTTCCGTGGCAAGGAGGGGATGGGTGTGCACATGGAATTTGGAATCTGACTCCAGTCCAGAAGGGAGGAGGGATTGAAAGCCCCTCACTGTGTTTGCTGTACCATCAGTGGGAGTTAATCGTTCACCAAGGTTAGCTGTGGGGAGGAGAAGTGAAGCAAGTTAGTGCTGTTGAACTCCCTCTTTCAGGAATCAAGGCCGGGGGCAGGGGCGAGGTCCCCTTATCAGTCATTGCAGGACAGGACCATGAGCCTTGCATATCCAGACTCGTTTGTCACTAGTTCAGACGCTCCTGCCTGCTGGGACGCTTTAGACGGGTGCGTACTTGCCCCCTGCTTCCCATGACTCCTAGCTCAGGCTTCCCCAGCACACATGTATAGGAAGGATGGCTGCTGCCTGGCATGCAGCAGAGTGACCCCAACCTTGGGCAGAATCTGGCCTCCCTGGGAGTCTGGCCAGCTTTGAAACTTGAATGTTTTGCCAAACTCCTTCCCCATGAGGCTGAACAGGCCCAGGGAGACTCCTCCCCAGACTCTGGAGGAGGCACCATTCCCCTCAGGATCTTGGAACGGCCTAGGCTGTGCTTCATTCACCTAACAGCACACCCTCATCCCCATCCCAGCACGAGTCCCACTGGGCCTTGCCCTCTCTCCCTCTCTGCTCTGAGCTTCACATTCATCTTCTGCACCTGTTGTCAGCCTGGGCTACTGGAGACAGCCACTGAGGAGTCAGCCCTGTGTGTGTATGTGAAAGGGCCTGCAGGTGCAAATGTATGGGGAATGGGGTGACTATATGTGTTGGTGCGTGGAGTGGTTTGTGCATGTGTGTGTCAGTGCATTTGATGGGGAGGACTGCGTTTGTGTGCATGCATGTGAAGGTGTAGTTGTGCATGGGATTGTGTGTGTTTTTGGGGGTTGTGTGTTATGGGGGGGGAGGGGAGAAGAGGCTCAGCAGGTAAGTGCAGCGTGACCAGCAGCAGGCTCAGGAAGTGATCGATCACAAGTGCAAACCAAATGGTGTGTGTGCTTTGCAGGGAGCCGTGCCAGCATTCAGGCCGCCCTGCATACTCTGCTCACCGTGCCCTGGCCCTCGCAGCGGGAGTTCCGAGCATGCATCCAGCTCCTCTCAGTTCTACAGTGGGTCCTCAGCTTCTTGCTGATGGGTGAGTAGACCCAGCTGGCAGGAGGGGGCGCGCCGTTCTCCGTCTCTCTCACCAATCAGATTATGCTGTGGGGTTGTTGAGATTCTGCATTGGGGTCCGTATTATTTGTTACTATCTATCTCTAGCACCATGGTTGATGATTTCACAAAAATTCAGGACATTGGAAAATCCAGCACTAAGGCCCGAAGGAATGACCAGGTTCCCTGGAGCCAGAACAGCAGCCTTCCCCAGGGGAGGGAGGGGTGCAAGGTATCTTTGCTGGTCAGTGGGGGAAGGATTTTCAGATGAGACCTCAGAAAAATACCCCATGACACTTTTCATAAGAGCAGAGGTCTGTGTGATCCTGAGCCAATATCTTTCCCCTCACGGCTGTGCAACATGGTGTGCCCCTTTGGGCTGTCTGCTTCTCTCCTTGCCTTCTGGGGCTGCGTTTACAGCTTGCTGAAGGACGAAGTGCTTTAGGGTAAAGGCCCCTGTATAGGTGGGGTTAGCTGCATTCAAATTAGGCCTGGCACCAATCCACCTTCTCAGGAGTTGTGCGACACAAAGGGCCTGCTTTTTTTTTTTTTTTTTAAGTGCTGAGCACCCAAAATGAATGTCAGTGGCCCAGAATGTTTATACCCTCTCCTGCTGTGCACCCACCTCCTCCCCGCCCCCCAGAAAAAGCTTAGATTGTGGATTGGGGTGGGAGGGTGGGGCAGAGACTATCTCCGTATGTGTTTGTACAGTGCTTAGCAGGACAAGGTCCTGATCCTGACTGGGGCCTCCAAGCACAACCACAGATAAAATAGCTCAGAATCCCAAGCAGGAATTCAGCTCCTTCAACTTGCCTCCCACTTACAAAGGGGATGGGAAGCGCCTTGGTGCTCGCGCGCGCTCTCTCTCACACACACCCACCAGCTGCACTCTGTGACAGGAGACTTCCCGTTAGCTTAATTATTGTAGTCTGCAGAATTCTGTTTTGGAACTGTGACTTGCAAATCAGATCAAGTTAGTGCTTGTTACAGAATAATTGATTTAAAAGGGAAGGGAGGATTAGTGGTAAAGGACTTCAGCTTTTCAGGAGACTGAATTTGTAGTTGAGACACGGGGCTTGTCTACACTGGCACTTTACAGCGCTGTAACTTTTTTGTTCGGTTTGTACAGTGCCTTGCACGATGGGGCCTGATTCTTGCCCGGGGCCCCGAGGTGCTACTGCAATAGAAATTATACTAATATGCACCTGAACGAGTTCTACAAATATGGGATTAGTTTTCCACCATTAGACTCAGTGGTAGGCAGGCTGCATTTTGAGACCTCTGGTGGGTCTGCATATGCACAGTGAGGCACAGTCCCAGCACCTGTGGTTACTGCAGTCTAAGCCTCTCATGCTCTTTCCCCGGCTGCTCCATGTGCTTTAAGTGGGCTGTAGTTTGAGTACACGATATACATGGGGGGTCAGAGGGGCTCGGGTTCAGCAGGCTTTCTCATATCTGAAGCTGTTTGGCCAGTCATAGTATCCCCTTTAGAAGCATCTCCTGCTATCCAGAGCTGATGCTCAGCTTTGGCAGCGTGTCTCTGACCTGGGGAGGGTCCCACACAGGCTGCATCTATACTAGGAAAATTGGAGCCTGTAATTCTCCATCAGAGTGGCTCCAGCATAGACCAGGCTCTTGAGGTTTTACTACTGTGGTGCCTAGACAGGCTGTATAGTTAAAGATGACAGTAGTAAAAAGGCCTGAATCTTGTCTACAACACAGCCTCTTTCCAGGGAGCACCACAGGTAATTAATTAGGGCCCCAAATTTTACTAGTGCAGCAAAGCCAGACTGGCTGTTGTTCTGCCCTTACAGATTCAGCGTGGAGGCTTAATGGGTCTGGATTGGTTGGTCAGTGCTGAAACACAGCCAGTCAGAACACATACAGCAAATAAGCAGGCATTTTGGCCTACAGCCAAGTGCTGGGAATCAGATATTTTCTGGGGTGGGTGGGAAGATCTGCCCAGTTCTGAATTGGCCCAAAGAGGATGGGATTCACTGTGGGCACTCATCTCATCCCACATTAGAACTGGGGCATTATGGGATGCTGCTGTGAAAACTCAATCTCTAGAGAACAGGAATTGATGGGGTAGGGCGTATTTCTACGCAGGGATATGTGAGCTAATCTCTTGCTTGTGATACCCTCAGGAATCGTCTTCCTGTTTCTCCTCGTCTATTTGGTTTTCACCAGTTTCTGGCCAGTTTCTGCTCTATACTTTGCCTGGGTAATCTTTGACTGGGACGCACCGGAGCAAGGTATGGGAAGGTACAGCCTAATTTACTGAGTACATGTATGCATAGCAGGACAGAGGGGAGACAGACTTGCTGGAGGATTCAGATGTCTGTCCAACCCCTTGCATGTATGTCCTTGTCTGAGAGTATGATCTGTATATGTTGGTCTCCAGGCCCAGGTATTTGCTAAATCACACTCGCGCTAAAGGCATTTCCCCAAGAACAAGGGAAATAGGTCCAGAGACACACACAGGGAGTAAACCATAAAGTTTACGGCAGATTGTGCAAAGATCTTTGTGTGCTCTTTGCTGTTTTTTTCCCTCTCATCTTCCAATATTTGCTTGCTTATTTAATGATCTTTAGAGACTGGCCCTTCCACAACATCTGCTCAGTGTCACGCGTGGTTAAAATGTGACTGACAGCACCCGGGCCGGAACTTTGTTTAATTTCATTCTGTTTCTCTGTATTGTAACACCTAGCAACATTTACAGCAGCAGCGGGGATAGTCCAGAAGCACAGACTCTTGCCAGCTGAAATTAAGGAGACTCTCCTTTATCTGTTAGCAATACAGAGCCTATGACATAGTTCTGGGCAGTTGTGATTCCTTCTAGTAGGGCACAAATATGCACAGAGAATCATTACATCAGCTGGGGCATAAGCAGCCAGAGCAGGTAAGATTCCCAGAAGAGCCAGCATCCCATTTACCTCTTCATTTCTCTGGCCTAGTGACCAAAACAAACTACAGAGGTGTAGGGGTTCCCCAAAAGAGTCAGTCTTTCCAGCAATCCCCAGTGTGGCTGTGATGGATGGTCACTGTATGAGGTCTCGTTAGGGACTATGCTCCAAAGTTGCAGCAGTCTGTGGTGGTCCCTTGTCATTGCCTGCCTGGATTGTGGCACAGCTATTTTTGCAAAATATCAGAGGGGAAAGCCAGTTAGTAGTGGGAACTTCTGCAAAAGAATAGGTCTGCTGTATGACACTAGAGGGCAGCAGCCCATAATATATCCAGGAGATACTGGCCCTGTGAGAGGATACTCCTAGAGCTGGCTTTTCATGGCAACTTCCAAGGTTTCAAAAGCTGTTTTGTTCCTCGCTGCAATAAAACGACCTTTTGGACAACTGATCTAAAACTGAATTGTGCCGAAATGTCTGTTTTCACATCAGAACACATGTGTCCGTCCTAGTGAGTAAGGCGCTGGCCTGCGGTGTGGGAGACCCAGGTTCTAATCCTTGCTCTGTGCCTGATTCAGAGCAGAGTTTTTCATCCCAGATCACTCTGAATCAGGCAGAGCAGGGTCTTGAGCCTGGGTCTCCCGCATCCCAGGGCAATACCCTGGCCATCAGGCTGCACAGTACAATTTCTCCTCCCTCCCCCCATCTTTCCAGTGAAAACTGCACATCTCTGCAAACTGTTACAGCAAAAAAATCAGGTCGTCACCTATGTTCTGACTAGCTCTGGTCTGCTGGGAGGCAAGGGCTAAAAGGGAGAGGAAGTGACCAAACTCCCAGTGGAAATGGAGTCTGTCCTCAGTGTCAGTGTCTGTGTGAGATCCTTGCCCCCACTCCTACTCCCTCTTGTGTGGTTTGCAGGTGGGAGGAGGTCGGCGTGGGTGCGAAACTGGCCTGTCTGGAAGCATTTCCGAGATTATTTCCCTATTCAGGTAAGCCGTGCTGGGCAGGTGTGCCATGCCTTTGCTATCCATACAGTATGTGCTGAGTGCTGTACTGTAGAATTTCGACTTCCTGCAAACCTCTGGACAAGCTTCTAAGTCTCTCAGGCATCTCTGTTGGGCCCCTTGTCTGAATAAATCTCTCATGTCTCTCTGTATATGTCCATCCTGCAACCTGGCTGCTGGCAGCTTCATGGATGCCCAGTACATCCACCTGCCCCTGAAATTGCACATGCATTTTTCTGTAGATGCCAGGCCAGACCCTTCATGGAGCTCCCTGTAAAGCCAATAGAAATTTGTTTTAAAAATCGATGGTGGAATTAACGTGACCTGCTCCTACCCCCTAGTGGACATTTGAAACAACAGCCACCTTACTCTTCACAGAATCTTTAGGATCACATCCAGTGCAGATGCTTGCCCCCAAATCAAATCCCGGCCCCCACAAAATTCATCAATTCAATAGCTGTTCAGCACAGATTTATTTTGGGTGAGGGAGTAACTACTGAGCACAGGTCAGCTCAGGAATGAAAGGAAAGGCTGCTATATGAAGAGAGATTAATAAGATGGACTTTTCAGCTTGGAAAAGAGACGACTAAGGGGGGATATGATCGAGGTCTATAAAATCATGACTGGTGTATAGAAAGTAAATAAGGAAGTGTTATTTACTCCTTCCCATAACACAAGAACTAGGGGTCACCAAATGAAATTAATAGGCAGCAGGTTTAAAACAAACAAAAGGAAGTATTTTTTTCACACAACGCACAGTCAACCTGTGGAACTCCCTGCCAGGGGATGTTGTGAAGGCCAAGACTATAACAGGGTTCAAAAAAGCACTAGATAAATTCATGGAGGATAGGTCCATCTATGGCTATTAGCCAGGATGGTCAGTGATAGTGTCCCTAGCCTCTGTTTGCCAGAAGCTGAGAATGGGTAACGCAGAATGGATCATTAGATGATTACCTGTTCTGTTCATTCCCTCTGGGGTACCTGGCATTGGCCACTGGTGGAAGACAAGATACTGGGCTAGATGGGCCTTTGGTCTGACCCAGTATGGCTGCTTTTATGTTCTTATGTGTTGATTTGTCCATCTGTTTGTGGGTGTGGTTGTGTGCCAGGTGGGGGTTGCCATGTTGGTATTTATCCAGCAGTGCTCATCTGCAGTCATGTGTGGAGACCTGTGACCCAACCAGGATCCTCCTTCCCTCTTCCCCCACCAGTCTCTGCCCTCCCCATTGATTGTGTCTTCTCCCTCTAGTTAGTGAAGACTCACAGCCTCCTTCCCGGTCACAATTATATCATTGGCGCACACCCCCATGGGATCCTCTGCGTTGGGGCCTTCTGCAACTTCATCACCGAGTCCACTGGCTTCTCTGAGAAGTTCCCTGGCATCAGACCCTTCCTGGCCACGCTGGCTGGCAACTTCCGGCTGCCTGTCTTCAGGGAGTACCTGATGAGTGGGGGTGAGCATGCTCAGAGAGTGTCCCTCGCACAGGTCCAGAGAATCACACTAGAAGTGTTGCAGATGTGGCTAATACAAGAGACCTAGCAGATCTGTAAAATAGCCAGCTCCTCTCTTTTTTTCTTTCCATCACTGATCACCTGAGTCCCTTCCCTCTGCAGCGTCTGGCCAAAGCCCCTTTCAAACCCTCTGGATACTGAATCTGCTGCTGGCGACGACATTCTGTTCTCATGTGCTTCTGTTCTTTTTTTTCCCCCTGAGACTAAAGCAAATTTTAGTACTTGCCAAAATGTCAGCTTGACATTGCTGCCTGGGCCAGGCTCAGTGCTGTCAGCGGCTCACTGAGATTCTCCCACAATGCTCTGCTACTGCACCTCCATCCTGCCCCACACCCAGCACTACTCCAGCCTGCCCCCTCCCACTCTGCCATTGCTCCTCAACGTGGGTTGGGTGGTGGAATTCCATGCCGCTAGAAAAGGAAAGACAGGGGAACGCCACAGAGCTCAAGTATTTCGTGGGCTACATAGGTCTTTCCTAGGGATTGTTTCTTGCACCATCCCTTAGGAAAGCTCAAAGACCAGAGCAACTGTTATCTTTCATGCAGCCCGTACATGAAGTGTGCCCTGCTCTATGTCCTCCACTCCCCGAGTGCCAATTCCCAGGCTCAGTCACTGAAAATGGCACCACAACGGCATCGCCTGGGAAACTGCATTCTGCCTGGCACAGCTGGTGCCTCCCCAGGCTGCCAGCTAACATGGGCGTTCAGGAGCCAGGGTCCAGTGAGTGCCCATTTTGGCCTCAGCTCTGCTGATCCCCTTCACCTATTGCATCCTCCAGAGCAAGAGACCCCATGGCTCCTGGGTGGACACAAGGTGTCGCCCTTATTCCACGTGTTGGGCTCCTGGGCAGGGACATAGGTCTGCCTACAGCGCAGGGCTCTGGGCAGGGCTCAGCACTCCTAACTTTGTGCTGGGAGGAAGGAAAGAATAGCTCCCCTGCACCTTCTGCATGCCTGAGTGGAGGGCACCCGATCAGCCACCTGCCCTCATTTGTTGGGATGTTCTCCTCAAATCCTAACTGTAGGCAGGTTTCCAAGCCCCCCAAACTCATTCAGAGATTGGGGCCAAGGGTCTGTCCCCCAAGTCAGCTGGTGAGTCAAGGGGTTCTCAGGTGGGGCAAGAGCTGGTTTCCATTGCAGTTCTCCTCATGCTCCCTTGGTGCTCTTCTCTTTAGGCCTGTGCCCTGTGACGCGCCAGGCAATAGGGTACCTGCTCTCTCAGAATGGCAGTGGGAACGCTGTGGCCATCGTAATTGGAGGTGCGGCCGAGTCACTGTCTTGCCAGCCAGGAGTCACCACATTAATCCTCAAAAACCGCAAAGGCTTTGTTCGGATGGCGCTGCAGCATGGGTGAGCATCATCAGCCAGATGCTGTCCTGAGAGGCCTCCAGCTCCTCTGGTAGCACCTCCAGGAAATTGGGCTGGGGCCAGCCACCCCCAGGACCTGCCAAGCGAGCCACTTGACCAGGAAACAGGGTCTGGCACTCTCCCCTGTTTGGGATCTCCCCAGGCAGCCCATCCCTGGACTACCTTTCAGTAGGACCCAGGAGATAGGAGAGTGAGTGTGCCTCAGCTGCTACTTACTGTGGCTCCCAAGGGAGGCTGGTTCAATATGATCAAGTTTGTAGCAGGGCCCCATGGTGATGAGGTGCAGTAGCGAGCATAGATGCTGGAACTAGGGGTCCTGAGTGTGTGGCCACACCCCCTGGCTTGAAGTGGATTCCATTATATACAGCGTTTACAGTTTGGTTCAGTGGTGCTCAGCACCCCCACTAGACAAATTGTTCCGCACCCCTGGTAGCGAGTGCTACCCTGGGAGGGGGGTGTGCTGGCTGCAGAGGGCACTCATGCTACAATGCTTTCTCCCCCAGGGCACACCTGGTTCCTGCCTTCTCCTTCGGTGAGAACGACCTCTTCCGGCAGGTGGTTTTTGAAGAGGGCAGCTGGTTGAGGGGCATTCAGAAGAGGTTCCAGAAGCTGGTGGGCTTTGCTCCCTGCGTCTTCTATGGACGGGGTTTAACCTCTATCCAATCCCGAGGCTTCCTGCCCTACCCGAAGCCTATCACCACTGTCAGTGAGTATCCCCTTACTCTTTTCCTATGGCTTTGGCTGCTCCAAAAGCCCTGGCACTGGTAGGTGGTGGGGGTTGAGTCCTGGTTATCTAAGCCAGCATTTTTCAAATGTGGATACAGTAGCCGCATGCGGCCACCTGCGGCTTTTCTTGTGACCACAGTCTCCTGGGCTGTGATTTGGGGGGAGGGTGGGGCAAGCAGCAGCCCCTTCCCCTCCCCGTTGCTCCTGGATGCACCGCCTTGGTGTTGGATACTAGGGCTGCAAGCAGGGGTCGAGCCCTGCCCCATCTGGAGACAGCTGGGGCACAATGCTGGAGGAGCAGGCAGCTGGTGAGTTCCCCACCTCTCCAGGGGTGGTGAGGCTCAGGCTTTGGGATTCACCCCTGGGGTGGTGGGGCAGCAAGCTCTGGCCGTTGGTCCTCGGGCTCCAGCCCTGGGCTCCGGCTGCACAGCCGCAGATCCCAGGCTCTGGCCATGCAGCTTTGGGCTTCATCCTCCAGCCATGGCATTTTGGCTCTGGCTATGGGGCATCAGGCTCTGGCCCCTGACTAACTCCCCCGGCATCCCCAACCCAATCACCCCTGGCTCCTGCTGGCTCCCCCGACATACTTACTCAGCCCCGGCTTAATTTGTCCCCAGGTTTGTTGGGGCTGAGTAAGTCTGCTGTGAAAAGTGATATTTGTATGTTTGTTAATATCACTTTTAAAAACAGACTTATTAGCTAGCAATAAATAAATTACAATGATTTGAACATGCATATTTGCATATTTATTTGTTTTTCCTGAAGCTAATTAAGTATTTTAGGAAAAAAATTGAGAGTGGCCACCAGCAAGAGTTGGTGGCCGCACTCTGAGGCCACCAAACATTTGTCCTGAGAACCCCTGGTCTAAGCTGACAGAGGGTTCCACTTGCCATTGAGTTTGTGGCAGGTGTGGAAGCCAAAAACTCATCATGATGTGAGGAGTGAAATCCAGCAATTGGCAGAGTGGGCCCAGGGAGCTTGTGAACCTGCAGTTGGTGGGTGCTATCCCAGGGCACAATGTGTTCTCTGCCCCATGCCTGTGGCCAGGTGCTGTTGCTGTCTCTGTGGTACTACTGCCTGTATGTAACCGTTCACTAGGAAGAAAGTTTGGCATTAGCATTCCAAGGCCCAGCTCATTACGAGGGGCAGGGAGTCCTCCCAGCTGTACCAGCTGGTTTATTCCAGGTGCTTAGGATTCACTCTTCCACCCTCTTTCTGGCTCTGGCAGTAGGAGAACCTGTGACGGTGCCCAGGATCAAGGAGCCGAGCCACGAGACGGTGGATCTGTACCATGCTATGTACATCCGCTCCCTGCTCAAACTCTTCAATGACCACAAAGCCAAGTATGGCCTGTCGGAGGCGGACGAACTGAGGATCTTGTGACTGAGGCCAGAGAGAAGCCAGGGGACTTTGGGCAGCCAAGCCCTAACTCTCAAGGGCTGCCTGCTCTTGGAGGTGGGAATGGCAGCTTACCTGGCAGGATGGGGGCTCTCAGGGACATACTGTTCACCCGAACTACTGCTTGCCCTCTACCCCAGTGCCTTACTCACTTGTCCCCTTGGTGCTGCCCCAGCCTCTGCCTCTGTTTGTTCCCTCCAGAAGATGAAGGAAGGAAGGAGGGAGCTCCCTGCTTGTCATATCCCCGCGTTTCCTGTGTGCTTTCTGCTCGCTCCCATGGGCAATGCAGTGAGTTGGCTTCCTCAGCTCCCAAAGCCCTCTCAGGGAAGGGGAAGGGAGGAGCACAGGAAGGACAGGTGCTGGGGCTTGGAGGGGATGGGGAGTGTGCATGTGAGCAGAGGGACATGGGGGAACGTGTGTGGGGACACTTCTCCTCTGCCCGGACCCCACTCTCCTGGAGGGAGATGAATAGTAGCTTTGTGCTGCTGCTAATGAAACAGAGGAATGCAACCCTGCAGGCTAAACTCTGCCCAGGGCTCCAGCTCTGGCTAAGAAGGAAGGAGGGTGAGATGGATAGAATGGGGGGGGAAATGGAGGGAAAGCCCTTGATTGTAACAAATGTGAAAAACAGGGTTACCAGAGGGGCCTGCAATGCCATGCAGGGTGTGTTGTGAGGGGCAGGGCCCTGAGACTGAGGGTCTCTGAGGAGCTGGCTGCTGACTCAACTCCTTGCCTAAGGAAAGCTGGGCAGCTATAACTCCTTATGGCCTTGTGTCTGTCCCTGGTGCCCATGTAGGATGGAGCCTCCTGGGAGGGTTTGTCCTTCCATCTCTGTTTTGCTGGCTAAACGTGTAGCTCAGAAGCGGGCATGTCAGGCTGTTTACCCCCAAGGGGACATGTCATTCCTGCACCAGGTTGGAGAGTTCTCCCTGTGGTGGTTAGCACAGGCAGCTTTGCCTCAGCCTTAGAATCAGGGCAGGGCCATGGCTTCCCTTCCCACAATGAGGAGGGATGGACAGTCAGGGGGTTCATGGGAAGCTTGGTGAAACGCTGGCCAGGACATAGCCAGGATGCACAAGATTTTCCCTTTGCATCTCCCCTTCCCAACACATCTTGTTCCCTGCCTGAGCTGTGGCTATCCCTGTGTTTTCCCATGGCCCCCGTATGTGCCACCTACCACTTTCTTCACTCATGGGTCCCAGCCCCACAGTTTCTTGTCCCTGTCTCTGTGAGTTGGCAGCAGGAAAGGCCAGTGCACCTGGAGCTGCATGTGGAGAGACACCAGGTCCCAGAACAGCAATAGCAGAGTCCCTGGGGAGACCGCACCTGGGAGATTGCAGTGATTGCTGGGCGCCATGTGACCAGAAAGAGATTGATCCTAGGAAGGGGATCAGAATAGAGCAAGAAAAACTACCGGGAGCCTGGAGGGAAAGCCTAGAGTGACAAAGTGGGGTGGGCCAAGTCTGCAAACCTGACAAGTGCCTCCCCTGAGGGAGGGCAAGAGGTTAGTTACGAGTAAAGGCAGGTGGAACTAGGAGGTTTGAAGGCGATTGATGATGAGAAAATACAGACTGTCTCTCAGGGATAACTTCCTGTCAGTGAGGTTACTGAGCTTGGGTGTTGTCTCCCAAGGGAAGGGGTGTGAGCCCCAGGACATGGGGCATTTCAGGCTGGGTCTGACAAAACAGTAGGACTGGACTGTGCTGTAGGGGCCAATCCTGCTTTGGCTTCAGGGCTGGATGGGACAATCTAATGGGGCTTGTCTATCGCTCACCTCGATGATTTTGTGTTGAATACATTTTTATAAATCTCATACTGACATGGCCCACGCTGTGTGAGAAGAAGGCAATTCTGCAGGTGGGGAAGCACCATGCGGTAGTCCATACACATACATACATACGTGCCAAGAATCTAACCGTGCATGTGCCTGGACATCCCCCTCCATACCCAGACATGCACACAAACACACACTGCTCCTTACACACGTGTAGGTTCACATACACAGATACATACACCCCTCCATGCACGAGCTCAGAGCACACACTCCGAAGGACTTTCAAACACACCTCATTGTTCTTTGGAGAAGGGAGGCCGCTGCATGTTGTTCCAAGGATTCAATAGGATTCAGCCCAAAGGGGTGCACTAGCCCTTCCCTGCTGAAGACAGCTCTCTTGAGCAGTGAACCTGGCTCCCCCTGCAGGTCCTTCCTGTGCTGGTTGAGGGGGCAGCTAGCCTGCTGCTCCCACTGTACAAATGACAAAGGGTCTATCACAAGCCCCTGTGCATGGTAGCTTAATGGGATGGCAGGGTTGCTCCTGTGGTCACAGCTTCTATGGCTGGGCTCCCTTCCAATTGCCTGGGGCCCTGTAATTCTGCTCTGAGCTACCTCAGTGGCTCTCAGCTGTGCTCTCCTGCTCTGCTGCCTTGCCTGGAGGCCCAAAATGTGGGGCTGCGACACCTTATGGGAGCACTGAGTGGAGGGTCCTGGCCTAGCTCTAGGCTCTTTGTGGTGAGAAGATTCTAATGATGCCATGGGAATGTAACGGGGTAGCTCCCCAGCCAGGAGCTTCTGCACCCAGCCCCTGGTGCTTAGCTCAGGTCCCAGGGGTTAGTGGTTTTTTTTTTTTTTCCCCCCCAAGCCGAGTGAGTAACATCAGGCAGCTGGTACCAGCGTAGGGAAATCCCAGTATTGAGGCTGGGATTAACCTCCCTGAGGAGCTCGACTCCATAAAACAAAAGCTGCTCTGCTACTGCCATCACTTGTGAGCAAAGCCTCAGCCTGATGCCTGCTGGAGCAGCTGCTGAGGGCCTCCGAGTGGGGAATGTCTGAGGCCACCCGTACTGCAGTATCAGAGGCAAAGTAGTGCATGGATTAGCCCCGCTCATGGGACATGCTGGTACTAAACCCTGGAGGATGCAGATCGGGCACAACACAGGCAGGTACTGCTTTCCATGGAGTCTGTGAGGAAACAGGGCTGAAACAGTGGTAATAATTTCCTCCATTTCCAAAGCTCCCAAAGCAATTTGCATGCCCACAGCCCCACTGAAATTCAGCACCTCTGAGGGGGAGACATCAGCACCTGGTGCAGAGCACCCGGCACAGGAGTGAGAGAACCAGGCCAAGAATAAACAGCTAGGAAACTTGTTTCTGTCCTTGGAGAGTATTCAGGGGTAGAGGGCAGCTTCTGCACCTGACCCTCCAGCCTCTGCAAGCAGAGAAGGTGATGGCACAAGACCCATCCGTTAGCTTAAAGCTTTTGCTTCACTGTAGGGAAAGTTGGTGATTGGATAGTGCCCGGTGCTGGGCCCAGGCCAGGGGCATCCTGGTGAGCTGTTCCCTGGGCGTAGATGACAGCAGCTTTGAAAGCAAAGATCACCCATGAGACCAGGCTGAGTCGTATGAACACAATCCTGAGGGGAGGACAAAACGGGTTGCTTTGCAGCTCCCCTCTCAAATTCCCATTGGCAAAGATGGTCCTGCCCCTGTGCATGTCTCCCTTCCTGTCCCAGCTCTGCTCCCCACAGAAGGCAGGCTGGGCTCATGAATTCTAGAATGTGGAATATCTAATTCATTACAACCTAGTGCGTTAGTATCATCCAGCATTATCGCTGGAGCACTTTACATGCTCACCTGTATACTCCCTTGTGGATAGCACCATATGCCTACACAATTAAACAATAGAGTTATGCAAACATTTCAAAAGTAAATACCAATAAAGGAAACATTCTAAAGAGCTTGTTAACTTCCTATTATAGTGCCTCTAAGTACCCAATTTCCTGGCTTCCCTGCAGAAATGCTAACACAGGTGGTGCCACGGCAGGTCGCGCTAGGGATTTGTCGGGGGCTCGGGGAAGCTTTTCACTGGCTTTAGAAATGCTTGCTGGAGTTTGGCTAATATCTGGCAGAGAAAAATGGAACATTAAGTGGTGAATCTTCCTTGCCTCTTGACTCTCACCACGAATCTAAGGGGCATATTTCAGAGGCTGAAATGCCAGAACCTATGTAAACAAGCCCATCCTCAGTTGGGCAAGAGGCACTGAGACATGGTGGGAGTGGGGGTGGATGGTGCTGGGGTGTGTGAAAGCCATTTCAGGTATGATCTGGTGGGGAAAATTAGCAAAAAGCAGGGAAAATTAGCAAAAAGCAGGGAAAATGCCCCCTTCCTACCACAGGCCTTTCTTCTTGAGTCTCAAACCTTTCATTTGAATACTTGAGCCCACTAAGTGCAGATCTAAAGGGACTGGGGAAATTTCCCCAGCAGGAGCAATGTAGGTGTAAAACATGCTGAGCTTGGAGTCTCCATTCGGTACAATACCAACCTCACAAATCATCTAAGACCTGCTTTGGAGGCCCTGGGAAACCACCTGGGCCTTCCCCTCTGCTACCCTTCCCCTTTACAAGACCTATCAAGAGGTAGCAGGTGTGCCCTCAGTTATTTCCCCACTCTGACTGCAGTGGAAAACTCACGCTGGCCATTTCCAAGAGTCCTGAGGGGTGAAACTGGCTCTGAACTCTCCTGAAGCCTGAAGGAAATGTGCCAAGCCCCTGAGCCCGGGCAGACGTGTCACCTGGCATTCCATCCTTTCTCAGCTTTCAGCAATGGACACGTCACAGCCTGGCTGAGCCAAATGGACCTTCAATGAGGCATTTAAAAGATTCTCATGCATGCCAGTTCTCTCCTGTTTATTGATTTCCTGGTGGCAATAGGGAGGGAAACAGTCCTGGGCCTTAGGAAAATTGCTCAGGAAAACATTTTATTCGTGGATCAATTAGTTGCTTTCATGGGCTTCATTGCCCTGGGGGCTCTGCCCACCCTCCAACCACCTGGAGCTAGGAGAGTTGGGAGCAAAGGTGCTGTGGTGCCTTCTCTGTTAGTTATATGGTGAGTCATGCCCTCCCATACACAAAGGGACAGAGACATGTAACAGCATCTACAATACACACACAATTCCATGGCCACTGCGCAGGCTTTAACTCTGTGTGCATCCCTACCCCATCTCCTGCATCCTGCCAGAGCCAGCCCCAGTCTCTCTTCTGCATTGCTAGAACCAGTGCCCTGAAAGTGCTTCCTTGCCTGCCCTGGCTGCCTCGTCCACTTGCATCTGAAGCAGGGAATTCGCTACCTGTGAGTCTCTCGTACTCTTCATAAGACAATCCCGCTGGCCTCCTCTATTTCCTTATGGGACGTAGGGGTCTCTTCTCTCTGCACTCCCATTGGCATTACTCTGGGCAGTCCTCCCATGCTGTGACAAGACAGGGAATATCCCTGGCTCTGAGATAGATGTTTGGTCTGTGTGAGGGGGTGGAGCATGCTCTGAGAGTGGGAATGTAAACCTAGTTCAAAAGCATTCAGAGGTTAAACCTGGTGCCAGAATGTTTGTGTGAGAAGCAGACACAGCACAGTGGGGAAATAATTCACAGAGATTAGGAGGAGATGGAGAAGACCTCTGTTCTGGAGTGAGGCTAACCTAGCAACTCTACTGGCTTCCCTAATGCTGGTCCCACATTCTGGCCTAGATGCATACTGGCTCCCCAGGCTCTAGCCCTTTCAATACCCCTTGCTGCATCCATTGTCTGTCAGTTTCACCCCCTTTTCTCAGGCATCATTGATGGAGTAGCTGGCACCTCGGGAGGTGGAGAAGCCATTCTTCTTGAGTTGTGAGACAAGGGCTAGAGTAGATGGGTTCTCAGATTTGGGCATTTTGAGCGCAGCCCGACGCAGCCTTCCCCTGTACTTATCCCCAGCCAGGAAGTACAGGATGGGGTCTATGCAGCTGTTGATGCTGGCCAGAGGCCGTGTGATCTTGTAGGTGAAGTTGACGATGTTGAGGGTCCTGCAGTTGGCTTGGAAGAGCCTGGCAGTATAGTACAGTGTCCGTGTGATGTGGAAGGGTAGGAAGCAAATGGCAAAGACTGTGATTACAATGATGATAATCTTGATAGAGCGTTTCTTGTAGACGGGGATGCTCTGGTTGGAGCTGGATAGGCTGGGTTTCCAAAGCCTCTTAGCCATCAGACTGTAGCACACAACGATCACCAGAAAGGGGATGCCAAAGAGGAGGGCCATGATTGAGGAGCTGTAGTGCACATAGTGGTCAAACTCTTCAGGCTTAGTGGTGTCATGGCAAAGAGTGTTGTTGCCGCTGGTGCTGGTGGTGACAAAGATCAGGTTGGGTATGAGGCAGATGGTGACAATGAACCACACACCCACGCAGATGAGGCGGGCATGCTTGGTCTTCACCCACCCGAGCGATTGAATGGGGTGGCAGATCCCCACGTAGCGGTGCACGCTGATGCAGGTGAGGAAGAGTATGCTACAGTATAGGTTGGCATAGAAGAGGAAGCGCACAATCTTGCAGAGTCCTTCCCCAAAGGGCCAGTTGTTGCGGTCAGCATAGTAATAGACCAGGGTGGGGAGAGAAAGCACGTACAGAGTGTCTGAGACAGCCAGATTAAACATGTAGGTGGTGGTGGCGTTCCAGGGCCTCATCTTACAGATGAACATCCACAAGGCCCAGGAATTGAGCAGTAGCCCCACCACACAGACAAACCCATAGGACACGGGCAGCAGGATGAATTTAAACTCCTCATTGAAGACGCAATTCTCCTCACCTTCGCTGGTGGTATTTGCTGTCAGCTGGAAAGCAGGTGTTGGAGTCAACAGAGCAGCTGGGAATGTCCCCACCGAAGTGGCCATTGCCTCAAGCCAATCTCTGAAAAGGCAATAATAAAAACATCTGTTAATCACTGATCTCAGCCGCTGTCAGATATGAAGAATCCAGGGGGCCAGATCTTCCTCTCCCAGGCACTCCTGCTGCTTTGATGATCATTTGTGGGGGTTTTCCAATGCCTCCCGCCTTTGGGCCTTTACCCAGTCAAGGAGGATTTGATAACTCCCCTTTCTAAGCCCCTTGAGTGACACAAAGCACCTATGAAACCCTACAAGTATGCGTCAGAAGAAAAGCCTGTTTCTCCCCCCCCCCCAAACTCTAGCAGCTACTCAGATAATCCCACTGTTTTCCTAACAATGAGACTTTTGTGAGCCATAGCAGCCCCACACTCGATGCCAGCACAGCCTCTCAAAAATTGATTCAGACTAATTAGCATGTCCTCAATGATGCTGCAAATCCCAGAGGGGTGATTTACAAAGGAAAGAGTGTAGGGTCACTGGAGTGGAAAGAGTCTCGCCTGGAGGCACATTCTGCTCTGGAGAAATCCCTGAGGAGCTGCTAAAGGGGCCTCTTGGAAGAACATTGTCCATCAGCATTGAGAGGGGCCTCAGCTTCCCCCGAATTGGAGGCATTCCCAGTTCCGGAACATTGATCTCTGAGCCACACAGAGAAGAGTCATTACAAAGCTGAGTCTCATCCCAGTGCAGCTGTGAGCTCAGAATCCAGGTGGGATATGTCCCAGGTTGCACATCAACAGCAGGGGCCCAGGAATTGTGTGTGTCTGGCAAATGAATCCCCAGGGCAGGGAAAGAGCCATAAAATGGCTCCACTTGCATCTCAGAATATCTACAGCCCAGAGTCCTGATTCTCCCCTGCAGGAGATGAGTAACTTGCATCCACTAGCTTCATCCCATGGGGGCGTCGGGCCCCAGAAGGTTCTGAGTACCTCAGCAGCCCCCAGAATCTCCCTAAAGATTTTGAAATTAGCTCATTTCCCTGCCTGGCATTTTCAGAACGGCAGCAGCCCGTCCCCCAGGGCACCAGCTGCAATGAGGGACCACAGGCAGAAATCAGGAGAAGGCAACTGACAAAACTCACCAAAAGCTCCCAGTGTCAGAGGACAAAAGTGCAGCTGACTGAAGCAAAGCAGCTGCTCCAGGCAGGCACTGGATGACCTGGGCACACTTGCTTTACCACCATGCCCCAGTGCCCGTTCCACTGTGAAGCCAACACTTGTGTAGCTCCATTAACAAAAGGCCAAAGTCACATCAAGGGCAAGGCCAAAAGGCATAAACTGGTGAATGGTGTGCTGGGTGACAGGGCCCCCTCCAAGAATAAAGGGTATCTACAGTATTTGGCCTCTCAATCCCAGAGCAGGAGCTCAGGGTAAGCGGTACACAGCAGGGCCCAGTGCTCTCAGGATTGCCACTAAGTCTGGACCACATCCCATCACCAACCAGACTAACATGGCTACCACTCTGAAACCTGAATCTACAGACACCTGCTGGTAATCCCCCTCACAATGGATTGTCCTGAGAGCAGCCACCTGCAGAAACCGTCTCTGAAGCCCTGTTGTGAGGGGCAAGCTTCTTGCCAGAAGCTGGGGATGGAGAAAGTATATATTTTGGCTGTAAAGGGCACTAACTTAGATCTGTCTTTTGCACCAGTGACTGGTTGGCTGGTCATTCCCACCACCATTTGCAGCATCAGAGGATTAAATGGATTAAAAAATGGTTACATGATAATCTCACAAAATAACCGTAAACAGGGAATAGTCATCCAACGTGGGTGTTCCTAGCAGGGGCCTGCAGAGCTCTGTTCTTGGCCCTAATGCTATTAAATAGTTTTATCAATAATCCGGAAGAAAAGCTAAAACCACTACTGGTAAAATTTCAGATGACACAAAAATTGGTAAATAACGATGGGGACAGACCAGTTGTACAGGCTAACCTGGATCGCTTGGTAAGGTGCTATCATTTGAATAATATGCATTTTAATACAGCCAGTTGCAAGTCATATTAGCAACAAAGAATGTAGGTCACATTAAATGATGGGACACAGTATTCTAGAATGCAGTGACACTGACAAGGACTGAAGGGTCATGGTAGGTAACCTGTTTAACATGAGCGCCCAGTGCACTGCTGTAGCAAAAAGGGCAAATATGACCTTAGGGCATACATGTAGGAGTAGGGAGCTGGTATTATCTCTGCATGGGGCAGTAGTGAGACCACTACTGGAATAGTGTGTCCAGTTCTGCTGTCCACTTTTCAAAAGGAATGTTGAAAAATTGTAAAGGATTCCAAAAAGAGCTAAAAGAATGACTGGAGATCTGGAAAACATGCCTTAGAGTGAAAGCATTAAGAAGCTCAATCTATCAAGTTAACCAAAAGAAGGTTGAGAGGTGACTTGATCACAGCTATTAGTATCTACGTGGGGGGAAAGATTTTTGATAGCAGACAGCTCTTTAATCTAGCAGAAAAAGGCATAATGTGATCCAAAGGTTGGAAGGTGAAGCTAGATGCATTCAAATTAGAAATAAGGTGCGTATTTTTTACAGAGAGGTTAATTAACCACTGGAACACCATCCTTAGGGATGTGGTGGATTCTCCATCACTTGAAGTCTTTAAATCAAGACTGGATCGTTTTCTAACAGACATGCTATAGTTATGTGCTTGATACAGAGTATATTGGGTATGGTTCTCTGGCCTGTGTTATACTGGGAGTCAGACTAGATGGTCGTAATAATACTTTCTGGTCTTAAAATCTATGACTTAATGAAATTGCTACATTCTTCTCATCAAAAGCATGATGCCCAGAGAAGCTGCATGTGGCTCACAACTGTAGACATGTTCAGAAGAAGACAAGGTGATAGTGCATGGTAGTGGGGATGCTGGTTTACAGTGGTGCAGGGCAGAAGCCTGTAGTAGCCAGACCTCTGTTTATTTTGTTATAGCAACCTCCCATCCTGTTTGTCTCTTTCATCCACCTGTTTTATCCTATCTGACAGTAGATTATGAGCTCTCTGTGGCAAGGACTATCTTCCTCATTACTTGGCTGTACAGTGCCTAGTACAACGGGGCCCTGATCCTTGACTGCGGTTCCTGGACCTACAGTAATAATAATCCTGCAGGTGGACTGGGATGCAGGTGAGACTGTCATGCAGAGGGTGCATACGAGGCTGCTGTAGGTTTCCACCTGCAGGACATCCAATGCTAGTGTCAATCATATCTCTTGATTGCAGTATTTACTTGTGTTCTGGATGGAACTGGATCTTGAAGCCCAAACTAAACACTCTCTGCAATTTCCCTCCAGCTACCAAAGGTGCAGATTGCTGCACAGGTTTATTACAGAGCTAAATTATATTTAGTATCCTTGGAGAGCAAACGCCTTGAGTTCAGAGGGCAGACAGGCCCTATCAAATATTAACAAATGAAGCTCAGCCAATTCCAGTGTAAACAGATGAGAAAAATGGGAAAGTAGGAAAGTCTAGCAACCTTCCCAGAAGCTGCTGTTACCAGATGCAGGACACTTCTGCAAGCTGTGACTTGGCATTCCTGTGGGGAATGCTGCAGGATGGTAGCATTGTCTTTGGTTATAATAACTTCCTTGAGAAAACACCAAGGGAAATCCAGACACTACAGGAAATGTTGCTGGGGATTTAGGAGGTGGCCCTTGTCCCTCTGAGTCCGTGCTAAATCAAAACCCCACTGTGATGCCAGGTGACTGTGCTGTGGGAGGCATGATATTCCAGAGGAGATGAAATGCTGAACCACCTGTGATACTTTTCACAAGAATGTCAGGTTCTCAGCCCCCTAAGCAGGGCGGGTGCAAGGATGTTTCCTGCCCTAGGTGAAACTTCCACCTTGTGCCCCCCCCCCCCCCCCCGCCGGCACCCCCCCCCCCCCCCGAGGCCCCCCCCCCCACGGCAACTCCCCCCGGCCCAGGGAGCTGTGCGGCAGCTCCCCGCCCTAGCTCACCTCTGCTCCGCCTCCTCCCCGAACACGCCGTCGCCGCTCCACTTCTCCCACCTCCCAGACTTGCGGCACCAATCAGCTGTTTGGCGCCGCAAGCCTGGGAGGGAGAGAAGCAGAGCGGGGCGGTGTGCTCAGGGGAGGAGGCGGAGCAGAGGTGAACTGGGGCGGGGAGTTCCCCTGCGGGCCGCCCCCTTACCCCCTTACTTGCTGCAGGCGGCCCTCCCCGCGCCCCCCTGCCCCAGCTCCCTCTGCCTAAATGCCGACGACAACCGGGGCGGCCGAAGATCCGGCCGCTGCAGTCACCGCCAAAGGACCCGAAATGCCGCCCCAAAATGCTAGCGCCCTAGGCGACCGCCTAGGTCACCTAATGGGTTGCACCGGCCCTGCCCCTAAGCTGACTAGTTTACGTAACCTTGTGCCTCCCTAAAATTCCTCTGCAGTTTCTACTGGATCCAGGATTCTTCTTTCTCTCCTCTCCTAAAGTGCCGTAGGATATTGATATTAATCAGCAATCACTGTGATGAGCGTGATATAAATACCCAGTGATCGATTAGATATCTTCAGGTTCATAAATCAGTAGTGCTCTATTGAAGTTAATAGAAATATGCCAGTTTACACCAGCTGAGAATCTGGCCATAGAACCAGCTGCCATGTCCCACCCCAGGGCTCTGTCCGTCAATTCCTTTTTGAATATGCACAAGGTAGAGGCTTCCTGTGAGTGTTCACTGGCTAGAAGATCCTTCTGGGTCAGGTGAAGTTTGATTTATTTTGAAGTGGTGCCCATTTCAACCAGGCATTTGGTTTGGCCGATGTGTCCCTGCGAAGCATTAAACACTTTCTCTCCTAACTGAAGGGTGGTGTAGATCTGGCTTGCTGCCCAGACAGAAGCTGCTCTATTGAACAGTCCTATACAGAAAGGAAGGAAGAATAAAATGGGGTGAATGGAACAGTGGGGACCAGCCTGTGTCCACTCAGCTGCTAAGGAGCAGTTGGAGTTTTCTTTCTAGTAGTAACCACGTGGAAACCATGGGATTCTCCCAGGCAGTCTCTGGACTCACACATGCAGCCAGACATATGTTGAAGCCTATCTTCAGTCTAGGACTGGATATTGGAGATGTCACCATCATACACTTCCTCATCTAGGCAGAGACCAGAGCCGTTCCACAATGGTAATGAACAACCAAAGCTGGTCCACCGCTGAAGACTCCTGACCTCCCTAGGTTTTCAACTCGCCCTAGGAGAAAAGCCATACAAACACAAAGCCAAAGCACCAATGAGTTAGTACAGTACAATCACCTGTTGTCCACTACCATCGGCACCCAACCCATCCATTCCCCCCACCCCCGACTGACCAAGAAGACACAAGGGTTGACAGATGAACTACAGCAGTTGAGGCACACACGCAGAAAGTTCAAACTCCAGAGATGCAAAAAACATTCTGAATTCCTCAGCCAGCAGCACAAACAACACTTCTAGGACTAGGCCACTGCAGTAACAGAGTCAAAATGAGCCTTCTACTCATCAACAATCAATGCAGCAGAATCAGGGCCATCAGAGCTATTCCATACAGTGAACCAGCTAATCAACCCCGACTGCGTAGCCCAGACTCCAGAGCCAAGCATCGACCATTGTGAAGAACTGTCAGCATACTTCACTGATAAGATCAGCCGAATACCTATGGAGCTAACTGGGACAGAAAATTCCTCCCTGACATGATTTGTATTACCTGCCCCATGGTCTATGACTGAGTCTGGCTTAATCACACAAGCCAATGCTCAAAAAGCCCTGAAACATATTAGAGCCACAGCCTACGAAACAGATCTATGCCACTTCTGACTGGTACAAGCCAAAGAATAACAAGTCTGCCTACTCCTAATGGAAATAGTCAGTGCCCCTCAGAGATGCACGCCTACCAAACTCCTTGGAAAATGCAATAGTTCACCCAGTTGTCAACTATAGCCAACACTTGACCCTGAAGATCTCTCCAGCTACCATCCTGTCTCCAACCTCCCATACCTGGGCAAAATAATTGAGAAAATAGCTCCAACATATGACATCAGCCAGCACACTGGATATCTCAGAATCAGGGTTCAGCTCAAGGCACAGCACAAAAGTCACTCTAGTTACACTAAAAGACAATCTTCTCATGGCCATGGACACAGGTCAGATCTCCATGCTCACTCTGCTGGACCTCTCTGAAGCCTTGGATACAGTGGACCACAAGGTGCTACTAACACACACCTATGTGACAAAGCTGGAGTAGTCAGCTCAGCATTACAGTAACTCCAATCATTCCTCTCCGGCAGACCCAGAGTGGTGATGGGTAGTGGCTCTTCCTCTCCAAAGGCCTCACCTGCTGGGTCCTGTTGGATCCACACTATCTATCCCTGCTTCTCTTCACTACTTACATGAGACCACTGGGAGAGAGAGACAGACCTCATGGGCTCAGTTGCCAACAGTATGCCAAGGACATAACTGTTTATCTCATCCTCAATTGATGCAACCACTGCCACTACTAAAGTGTCAGAATGCCTACAAGAAATAAGCTCTTGGATGAAGAGCAGCTTATTTAAGCTAAACCTGAGCAAAACCAAAAGGATGCTAGTTGGAAACAGGAAACACTTTGAAGAGCTGGCCAAGATGTTGTCTCCACCTTCCATTGAAGACATGCAGCCCCCATTGGTCAGAATGGTACAAAACCTCAGGGTCTTGTTAGATTCCTTGCTAAGCCTGGATAACCAGGCAGTATCAGTTTCCAAAAATGCCTTCTTTCACCTTCAGATTGTTAGGAAACTTAAGCCATTCCCCCTGGACAAGGACCTGTCCATACTAATCGATGCATTTGTCACCTCCAGACTGGGTTACAGTAAATCATTGTATCTGAAGCTGAATGTCAAGATGATGCACAGGCTCCAACTGATACAGAATGTGGCTGCCCGCCTTCTCCATGGCATGTGCTCATGGCAGCCTATCAGGCCTGTGCTCAAGTCCCTCCACTTGCTCCAAGGCAAGTTTAAGGCCTTGGTCCTAATTTTCAAAGAAATTAATGGATCAGCTACATCAGGGACCAAATTTTGAACTGTGAATCATCATGACAGCTGTACTCCTCTGGGGCAATAAAAATCTCAAAGCCCTGGGCAAAGCACATGAGGGCTGGGGACAATGCATGGAACAGTCTTCCAGAGGTGATCAAGCAAATCCAGAGCCTGACTATCTTGAGGAACCACTGCAATGGTTTTTCTTTGAGAAAGCCTTTCCACTCTGTGTGGTGCTCACAATATGAACACCCCCTTCTATTTTCAAACCCTTACCCACTACTATCACCCCCCAAAACACAACCCCACACTCTACCCTAAAGAGTTTTGATTCTGAAAAGGGAGGAGTGTGAGAGAGTTTATGAAGTCCACTAAGGACTTTGCTATTGTTCATAGAATCATAGAATATCAGGGTTGGAAGGGACCTCAGGAGGTCATCTAGTCCAACCCCCTGCTCAAAGCAGGACCATTCCCCAACTAAATCATCCCAGCCAGGGCTTTGTCAAGCCTGACCTTAAAAACCTCTAAGGAAGGATTTTATTGTTGATTTTATGTGGATGGTACTATAAAACCCTAAGATAAATAGTAACTACTCACTCCTCCTTTAGCCCTGGAGGCTGCAGAGAGCCTGAGATGGGAGAAGCAACTGTCAGGTTCTGAACTGACACATCTTTCTGTGCCAGGGTCTCTCCTTAGTGGACATAACCTGGCAGTAAAATGTCATGACAGCTGGGAGATAGGGAACATTCCACAGCTCCTTATCTCAGAAGATGGAATGATTAACAAATGGAAACCCTGTAAACTCTGCAATTCACCATGGGGACAGCAACATTATCTCACTGGTGACAGCACCTTAAGGTGTTTAGGATTTCACAGAGTGAAGAAGTGGATGTGTCCTCTTTACAAAACTGCACAGGAAACTCCCCAACATTGCACAATGAGCCTAGTTTCAGGACTGAAGGAATGAGTCACTGAGACTACCAGGCATGAAATTGCCCTGGGTAATTTGGGGAATCTCCCATATAGAACAGACTAACACAAAGCTCCCCAGGGCTGATAGAGCTCAGCAAACCTAAGTTCAGGGCAGAGTGTATGTGGTGATGGGACCTCAGCTGTAGAACAAATCTTCCATGAGTGGCTTAGGCTGAGCCTGTTCAGATCTCTGGACAAAAACTATCTCTTCACTGAGGTCTCCCTTAGGAATGGCATCTCCCTAAGAGAAGAACATTTCCAGGAATGGGAAGAGACAAAAAGCTGCATCATGCAAATGTTAGTTGTTTGACATTTGAATGCTGTGGTGATGGGCCTTATGAATACTGGAGATAGATGCCATCTGCTGAAGAGGATGGAACAGGGCCAGGGCTAGGAGGAAGGTAGGGAAGAGACATTTGGAATCCCTCTGCTCTGGGGCGAGTTCCTCCTTCAAGAAGCATTACCAATAGTGGCAGAACAAGGCTCCCAAAAGCTCATCTTCTCCTCATAGGGCAGAAGGGTGTGAGACAGACACACCCAATATGACACGTCTGCTGCTAGCTCACAGAGAGGGATCCCGGCTTCTCTCCGTGCCCTGTCCAGCTCATCATCAAGGGGCACTCCCCTGCCTCCCCACCCTCACCTCCCTGCTGATGCCGTCCTCTCAGCCCTGCCCCTCCCAGCAATCACTCCTATCAGGTTTGTGCTATCCTGGGGCCAGAGCTCTATATTTGCTCTCACTGTTGACATTGGCTGTGAAACTGACTGGGGAAATGAGAAGATGCACCCTCCAGATGGGATGCAGGAAGACATTCTCAGGCCAGATGCAGCTTGGAGCAGCTCAGAACAAGAACAGGAT